TAGTTGACTGACAGTAAGTTTTACCAGGGACGTGGTCCATCTAGCAAAAGCTTTAATATGAGACTTATTCAGAGTCTTTAGCCTCAAATTAGTCACCCAGACGCATGAGAGGGGTAATAACGCCTCAAGTAGCACAGATTAGGTGGCAGGAACCGAATGAAATACGTGGACCAGGGAGAGAGCAGACGGACCTTACGGGGCTAGAGAGAGACTGTGGTAAGACCTATGGGAGGACTGCGTAAGAATATGGCAGACTCTAATCAACATTTCCAGCACAAGTGTGAAGGGGGTTAGAACGACAGCATGGACTATGAAAGGTTTTCATGAATGCTGCTTAAAGGAGCACACAACACTACATCTAAGTAAGCACGGAAAAATCTTAACAGTGAGGGCGCATACAAGGATATAGATGTGAATAGCCCAGGGCAAAAGGAGAGATACCACAACTGTTCAGCACACGGTTGGTAAAAGGATCGGCTTCAATTGTCTCTTTGGCCAGTTGTTGTGTGGTGCGAAGACTGACAGGACTCACTGAAGATGCTGGTGAAACGTCTGGGAATGTACCACGTCCAGGGTCCTAGTCTGGAAATGATCATGAATACATTGGACTCCGGACTAGGTGCGTTCCTCTAAGTCTTCCTAACAATATGACAAGTTGCGAAAACATGGTCAAACAACCTCTATACAACGAAAGGAGACTATGAACACACAAAGGGCCACACCATCCTGGTCTTCATACCTACAGTTAATTTTGTTTTTAAGACTGATAACTATCCTAGAAGGTTTACATAGCTCAGCTTCTTCTAGAAAAGTATACAATTTGAGCCATTCCTTGCTTTGGGCTGATATTAAGTCATCCTCATTTAAAAAAAAACGTGTTTAGTCTTTGCGGGCTTTTTATTTTCTAGTTAATACTGCCATGCTCTTTGTGTCTATCACCTCTATGCCCTTTACCCTAGTCCCCTTAAGATGTTTGCTGAAGCTCAAGTTTAACCTAAACTAAGAAAATCACTAACCAGAGTTTGCTATTTCAAGGAAGTTTCATAGAGGTGGTTTAATCTCGACTGTGGTGAATGCATCCTGTCCGGAGTCTCATGTCATAGTAGCCCTGATATCTTCCAGTGTTGGATCGTGGATTTGCTACATTATCATACGCTTCGTTGGCATTATAGTTAACGTTTTCATTAAGCCTTGTTATTCTTAGCACCAAGTCATTACTTTGCAACTTGATTTTTTGAAGAGTTGTAGGTTGGCGTAAAGAAGTGCATGATTCATTTATGAGGCTGGCGAAACATCTGGTAATGTACCAAATCCACGACCTGATTGGAAAGTTTCAGAGCCACTATAACAGAGTCTATTCACCTTGATTTCTTTCGAAACCGAGCTCAAACCACTACCATCGAACTTTTTTGCATGAATAAAATTTGTTTAGTGCTACTCTTAGCATAGATTATACTTAAGGTCCATCCTCAGTGAGCCGCTGCTGCCTCGCCCAACTTGTTATGGTGATAATAAGAGTTAAGAGCATGACACTTATATAAACAAAAAACATTGCAATATTAGCTATGAAACAAGTAAGCTGTTTTTTATCTGGTTGAAAAACGATCGTTTGTCTTATTTTAAGTCTAAGCTTCTCTAGGACTCTTGGCGAAAAGCAGAATTTCCTGAATACTCATTGAGGCCATCATAACCCTATGTCTAAATAAAAACCCATTCTCAAGACTAAATTAATAAAATTGTTAATTTATAGGATCAAACAGGGCAACTACGCAAGTAATACTTTATTGCCTTAGATTACTCGGCATACTTATCAGGCGAAATGAATGCTTGTTTTAGCGAATATTACTTCGGCCACATGTTTATTATTTATATTATGTAAATCATTTAAATATCAAATTAGTATTAACAATTATTGGCCTTTGATCTCATGTGAAAGTTGAATGGATTCGAGGTATGCAAAAGTTTATCACATTTGATGAAGAATACGTGGGATAGCGATCGCAGAGCTGGTTTGATTGTATTTAGCTAGCTACACTCATGTGCATTACTATGCCTATTTGGTACTT